AAACTTTTTAATGACATTAGCAGCCGAATATTAAATATTCAAGATATTTTCGGTACACGTGCATAAAGACAGAGGGAGAGAGTGAGAGAGAGAGAGATGTGAGAGGGAGTGAAAGAGTCTATATACACTCTTTTCTGCCCTTTTTTCGCAGAGTCAAGGTTCTTTGCGCTAAATTTGAAATGTTTTTATTTTGTTTTTTGCTTTTGGAGGTGTCGGTCGTCCTTTGATGCTGCACTCTGACATGCTCTACTTAAGTTCCGACTCAGTGGACCTTTGTATTGCGAGCTCTGGCTTAGGTTTATTTTTTCCATGATAATTTCCACCCTAGGCTCGTGCAAATGTGTGCCACACATGGCAGCCCTTGAACAAATTTTGCTCACTGTGTGTGAATGTGTGCGTGTGTGTGTGAGTGTGTGTGAACATAATTTTAATTACCCAACTGCGGATCAGACTGGGACTCGGCACGCACCCTGTCATTTAAGCCCGAACAATGGGCAGACGGGATCTGGCAAAGGGCGAATAGGGAATTTACGACAGCTGCGCAGGCGCCGCCGCAGACGTCAAAAGTATTTATTTTCCATCTCTCTCTATCTCACTCTCGCTCTGTCCGATATTAGCCCGTTTCAGGTTTCCTATTTTCAGTTTGCTCACTCGCAATGTGTTGACAATAGTTTTATTTGCTTTTTACGCGTAATTATCGGGCGGATTTCAGGTTCAGCAAATGCACTTTACGCATCAAAAAGAGAGAAAGACATAGAGAGAGAGTGAGAGAGAGGGTGAGGGTAGGGTGTGATATGTGATAGAGACAGCTGACTGCACATGCTTGTCATTAATCTAACGATCCTCTAACAAGCCATGTTAATTATTGACTTTGTTAGGAAATGAAACAATGACAAATTGTTAAATTGATTGCAAGACTTGTTTAATGGGATGCGCCGAGACTACAGCAGAGAGAGAGGGAGAAAGCAAAACTACATGTGAATATGTATATAGAGGTACCTCCAGCTATATAGGGAAATAGGAATGCTTCAACGGAAATTCATTCTAAAAATAATCACCGTTTGAGTTTAGCTTATGAGGAAATTGCTGCTATTCTGGGAATATTCTAAATGAAAAATATGTTCCAAAGGAATTTCATAAATGACATTGCAATATGCAGTAGGGCATATTTAAGAGTAGAAAAAGCTATCTATTAAGTTTTTAGTTTGATCGAAATGACAAATATTGTATATTAATGTCTAAAAAGATATTTTGTAAGAACTGAATTATTTTTTTTATATTTTTAAATGAGATTTGAGTTATTTTATAAAAATATAAATATGTAAGGTGTTATATTTTAATATTTAATATATATTTTGTATTCTATTTGAATGTTTAAACAAAATTGAACAAGAATTGAATTATTTATATATAAAAGTACATAGAACTAATTTAAATTGAGAGCTCTTATTGAAATAACTTTCATTAAATGTTCATAGACTTAAGTTTGCCTTAACATTTATATTTTTAATGCCTTATATTCCCCAAATTTACAATTTAATTGCTGTACTTTTAATATTTTCCCCATCTTGGATCTATTTCATACCAAATGTTTCCTAACTATTAAATAATTGCTTTTCCATGGGACGCCGCTGCTGCTTCGGTACGTTTTAATTAAACATGGTAAACATTTATATAAACGCAATAGCACGAAAATTTCATAACGCTACAAGCGTCACGAGGACAAAGCAATAACAACAACAACCAAAGAGTAAGAGAGAGAGAGATAGAAGGAGAGCGAGAGTAAGAGATATTTGTTTTTATTACTGTGAAATGTATTTAATATTTTTGGGGATTTGTGATTAAGGGCCCATAAATTGGCTATATGTGGCAATCGAGTGGTCAAAGCATATTAAAAATGAATATTTCTACACATATACATATATGTATGTGTGTGCGTGTGCGCCTCTCTCTCTCTCTCTCTCTCTCTCGAATATAACGGCACTTTAATATGTTTTTTTCTGTTTGTGCGGGTGACTGAAGTGCTTTGGTAAATAAAATGCCATGAATTTTAATTGCATGCCATTGGCCAACACAACAAAAATCAATAAAAACTTGGCCAAGACGTGAAGGAAAATAAAACAGAGTATTGGAAATATGGTCATATCATCGGCAAAAGTGACAAATAAAGCTTCATTAGGCAAACTGTTTTGGACTGTTATTATTACTCTTATGATTATTACATTATTATTATCTTTTATTTCTACCACAGTTTGAGTTTGAGCGCAGTTAGTAAACGAAATTTTGAGGCATATTTTTAAATATTTATGACAAGCACACACACACATGCACACATACATACAGAAGAGCTGTCTGGCACGCGTTAATGTTAATACAGTTCAAGCTTTTGTTAGTTGCTTCGAATAGTTTGGGTTTTTTATTTATTTATTTATATTTTTTTCTGGGTTGTTGCGCTACTGAAACTTGTTAAAACGTTGCCTACATTTAAAATTCTAATAAACAATGTGCGGCCAACGCCTTGGGTCATAATTCAGTCGAAAAATATAATAAGTGGAACACGAGACGCGGCTAAAAATTTTAGCTATATATAAAAAAAAAAAAAAAATAAAAATAAAAAAAAGTATTCGAACCGTCACAGCAGGTGGTCCAAGGCGTCGATTTTTAATCGATTTTAAATTGCGGCTGGCAGAGCAAGGGGGTGTGGCTGGCAAAAGTGCCGCAAGCTGTACCTTGATGGGCGTGGCTGGCTTCAAATAAATGCGCCTTAATTAT